CTGTAAATCCTATGGATTTGAAGCAAAATATTGCTCTGCAGGGAGCTGGGAGAGTGTCATAGCGGTTTCTGCCCTCCTCCCTCTCCTGCAGCTCGTTTGCCCCAAGCTCATGCTGTGACACTGCTGGATTCCCATTCTCACATAGCCTTTTTGGGGCAGAAATTGTGAATGCGTTGGGGTCACCCTGTGCCACGCCGGTGGAGGCTCTTGGCTCGGGGGCAGCTCAGCGCCAGGCTTCCTTGGTGGCTCCAGCCATCCCTGGGCAGCTCCGTTTCACAGGGAAGAGCTTGAGTTTTGGGGCTGGGACTAAACAAGGCCAGGCAGGTGTGATGAGAAGGTTGGCCCGTTTCATGCCTTTGCTCAGGTTGACGACTGTGTTTATGGAGAAGCTCTACGCTGTTTTCCAGGGGAAGCTCTGCCAGATATTAGGGAGGTGGCAGCTGCAGCCTGGGGGATTCGTTGCACAGCCCGTGGTGTTCAGGGCAGGCTGTGTATGGGGGGGAAAAGGAGCTCATGAGCTTGTAATGGTTTCTTTTCTTTTTCTTTTCCGTATCGGTGCCTTTTGCCTTCTCTCCACCAGACGACAGCTGCCAGGACCAGGCAGGAACCAACTGCGCTTTGGCCATCAAAGTCAACCTGTGCAGCCACTGGTACTACAGCAAAGCCTGCTGTCGCTCCTGCCGCGCACCCCACTCCTAGTGCCCGGCAGCACCCAGCACCCCCGGCACACGCCGGGCCGGCAGCACCCGCGGCACGTGCCGGGCCGGCACCCCTGGGCTGCGCCTGCCTTAGCCAGGGCTCCGTATACCATTTAGTAAGCGCTACACCTCCCACAGACTGGTGTTAAGGATGCTTTTGGATTCTTTTGGGTTTTGTTTTCTCCCCACCAATGCAGAACTACTCTCCTTGTCCCTCTCCCGCGTAGAGGAACGGTGCCGGCACGGCTCGGTTGCAAAGCCGTTACCGCTGTACATTGGTAGCCCCCGTTATCAGAGCTGTACATAAAGTCGTGTATATTTGATTCCCCTGAACCGCAGACACTTGCACGTGTTTCACAAGGTCTTGTCCTTTGGTTTCTTTCCTCTGTGCAAGTTTGGGGTTGACAAGGGGAAGGTGTGAACCCTGTGAAGTGCAAGATTCCCTTCGCAACGGGGTTTAGTGCCTCTCTCCTAATTTATCCCCGAGACCTGCGTGCTCTCGTTAGCTGCATTTAATGTGGTGGGAAGCCGGTTTTCGTTTGCTAAATGAACTCAAGCCCTTTTTTTGTAATATGTAGGTGTATACTTTTTCAGAGAATTTTATCTTATAATCAAATGTTAGTTCCATAGTCCTTACAACCCCCCCTCCCGTAATGCTGACATATTGTATATAATATGGAAACATAACTGCACTTTATATCACAAAAAAGACGTGCTCTTTTTTTAATATATTTGTTTACAGACAGTGAACTTTATCCATATAATCATTAATTTGTACTCATATGTATATTTTAATAAAGTTGTCATATTTATGGTGGTATCTTGTTTTATTCTCCAGTTTGTAGTGGGTGTTTGCCCCATGTGCTGGGAACACTGGAGTCAGGGCTACGAACTTACTGGTGCGTGGGGGGAGCAGAGCAGCTCTAAGTCAGGGGAATCACAGCTGCTTGGAAAGTGATGCAAGGAAAAATCCCAGCAGTGGGAGAGCCGGGGAGTTGGGGACTGTTGCTGTGGGTTAGGGGCCCTTCGGGGTTATGTGTGTGGCTTTAGGAACTGCAACCCTGAAACTTCTCAGGAACTTGCAAGCAAAGAGACTTGACATGGTGGCAGCAAGAAAAGGGCCTTTCCATGCTCCCAAGAGGGTGATTGCGCTGTGTTTCTGCAGCCGTGACTCATCGAGGCTGGGCCAAAGGCTCTTTAGCATCCCCCGTACGAGTGTGCGCACCCCAATTACTGCTGCATTGCTCCCCTCAGCAGCAGGGAAACTCCTGTGCCGATGTGAGAGCTTTGCAAACAACACCCTGTGTTCGAAGATGCAGGGACAAAAATGTCAGTCTCAAAACCCATGTCAAAGTAGTTTATTTCTTTTTGTTTGTTTGTTTCTTTGCTTTTTCCCCTCTGATTCCCAAAGTCCTGTACAACAGATCACCAGGTGAAGGTTAGGGCACCGTTTGCTTAGTTTCCAAGCTACAGGGAAAGGGAAAAAGGAAAAGAAAAGAAGGAAGGAAGGAAGGCTGGCGAGAAAAATACGGTCACAAGAAATGCAAAGAGGAGGGTTCAATGCGTGGAAACAAACCCTGGTGAGAACTGTACACGGGAGCACGGCCCAAGCGGCTGCGTCCCCTGGAGCAGAGGCATTGTGCTCCCGGGACATGGCACTGCAGGGACCAAGCCCAGAATATTAAACACGTACGAAACTAAACCCAGCCCCCCCACCCCCCCCTGCTGCCCCAAACAGAACCCCCCGAGAAAGTCAAAGATACTCATTTGCAAAGACTGACTTGTACTTCAAAAGATTTCCTGTGGAATTAAAAGCCCTCGTGGTTAAAAGTAAAATATCCAGCGGGGCTGCATACAGTGTTTGTGAGCCGATGGGGCTGAAGCCGCAGCTTTTCCTTCCCATGGCATCCCTAAAAAGGAAAGGTGACCCAGAGCACAGCGCTGAGGCCATTCGAGTCTCTTTGCAGCCAGTCCATCCTCTCCTGGCTGTCCCCAAGTCCAGCACGATGCTTTTAACCCGACTAACGCACAACCCAGAAGAAAGAGGGCGTTTTGTCAGACAAGCTGTGAGTATTGCAAGGTTGGAGGGGAAGAATTGAGACAGCCAGGAGAAACCGGAGCACGAGAGTCCCCACACAGGCACTGCTGCAACGTGCGATTCCTTTCTCCTCCCAAAGCACTGGATTAACCAAACGGCTCCTTTGCGGCACGTTTAGTGCAGAGGGACGCGCTCGGTGGCCGGCTCC